TTCTCCTATAAAATTTAATGTTAAAGGAGCTCCACAATTACCTAATGACAGTATAAAGAACAATATAGAGAATAAAGGCATAAGTTGAGCTATACCTCTGTATAAATATATCATTCTAGTTCCTGATCTATCGTATAATATACCTCCTGCACATATAAATAAACCACTAGATACAAATCCGTGAGCTAATCCTAAAGTAATACTTCCTTCTATACCTTGAATTGTATTACTAAATGCACCTATTAAATATACAGCTGCATGAGATACAGAACTATAAGCAATTAATTCTTTAACATCAACAGTTCTTAATGTACTAAAGCTTGCATATATTATAGTAATAACACCAATAGTATATACTATAAAAGTAAGATCTAATGTAGCTTTAGGTAATATCGGTAAAATTAATCTAAATATACCATATAAACTTAATTTTAAAACAATACCAGCTAATATGATACTTCCACCTAAAGGTGATTCCACATGAGCTTTTAATAGTCAATTATTTAAAAATATTGTAGGTGTTTTTACAGCAAATGCTAAAAAAATAGCCGCGAATAATATAAGTTGAGTAGTATAGTCGAAATTTGTTTTAAATAATGCATCAAAATCAGTTGTTCCCATTATAGAATACATAGCTAAAATAGCTAATAATAAGAATAAAGATCCTCATACTGTATATAAGAAAAAGTAATAACTTGCTCTTACTTTATTACTAGATCCAAATAACCCTATTAATAAAAATAAAGGTGGTAAAATACTTTCAAAAAATATATAGAATAATAATATATCTGATACTAAAAAACACGCTAATAGTAATGTTTCTAATAATAATATAGTGTTTAAATAAAATTTAACATTTTCTTTAATGGAATTTCAATTAGATAATAAAGCAATAGGCATTATTATAGTTGTTAATAATACAAAATAGATAGAAATACCGTCTACTCCTAAATAAATATCAAATAATTGTACATTATAATGTTCTTGTACAAATTGGAATTGATTTGTACTTGAATTGAAAAATATATAAACAATAAAAGATAAGATCATATTAATACTAGAAGTTACTAATGCGATTTTTTTATAAAACGTTACGGCGGCTACGCCACCATAATTAGAGCCTTCATACGAAGTCAAACTAGATATAATAAATATACCTATAATTGGAATAATAAGCAAAAGAGATAATAACATAAATATAATCTAGATAACAAAAAACTTAAAAAGGTCTTACCGTGTATCATAATAGGAAATCATGATAATTAATAATAGATAAATATAATTTTGTGCGACTACGTCGCGGTTTCGATTCCATACCCCGACTACGCCCCCTCGGCTTCGCAGTCCCCCCCTCCTTCCTTTTTTCTCCCTCCTCCTCAATTAATTGAGGAGGAGGGAGGGGAGTCGGAGGTGGGAGGGGGGGAATAAAGAGACCCCCTCATTCATTACGAAGTATGGCATAGCACTCCCGGGGGTCAGGGGGTGCTTTTGATCCCCTCATTCCCCCTGCGGGGGACAGGGGATATGGGAATGGGGGTATGGGGACGGGATCAGGAGAAGCCGGGTGACGGCTTCGTGGCGAAGCCGAAATCGCCGCCGTAAATCATATAAACAGTTAGTCACCACCATCACAATCCGTAATATCTGGCATCTCCGTGGCTTGTTTTTCTAAAACGTAATCTAAAGGTGATTGTTTACTATCCAATTTTTTGGTTGGATTATTATCGGAATAAGAAGATAATGGCCGTTTATTAGTCTCATCTTCACTAAAAGTAGCTTGCTCGCTACCCTCCGAACTTTCATCCTCTTGAGCTTGCTCGCTATCCTCCGAACCTTCATCCTCTTGAGCTTGCTCGCTATCTTCTAAAAAAGCTTTCTCGATATCTTCTTTAAAAGTTTTCTCGAAACTGAAACTTTCATCCTGTCCCCCAGAGGGGGATGGAGCTTGCTTGCTACCCTCCGAGCTTTCATCATTACTACTTTCCGAAGGAGCTTCATATACTGAAGGAGTACCAGGCAGGGTAGCTATACTTTCGTCTTCAGCTACTACCGCTATACCTTCCCTTGTCCTATCAGGTAAATTTGCACCGTATTCAAGAGCACGATAATCTAATTTTTCATTTCACTCTGCCTCTTTTCTGGGTAGATTAGAGTAATCCTCAGAATGATTTTTATCACTATAATCTTTTTGCTGATTTTCTTTTACTACAGCCCTTACTTCTTCTGAAGGAATATCCGGGTGAGTTACTGATCATTTTTCTACTATACGACTTTCAGCAATATTATTATGGCGATTAAGCTCTTCTTGTATAGAATGCTTAGTTTTAAATTTATCCACTTGATAATCAAACTCTTCTTTACTTTTAGATTTATCAACTATATTTTCAAAATCTGGATATCCTGGTTTGTGAAAAGAAGGTTTATTGTTACCTTTATCATATTTTTTTAAATCTTCTAATATATTATTTTTTGTATCTTGATCTATAGAATTATTTTGATCAGTAGCCATATAAAAACAAGAAGTAGAAAACATTTTACCTTTAAATAAATTATTCATATTGTCCCTTTAAAATTTACCCTATGGAAGGGATACAACTTTCGCGCCTGTCCATTCCCTTCCCCCCCTCTCTCGGTCCCCCCTCCCACCTCCTCAATTCATTGAGGAGGTGGGAGGGGGAAAAAGAGAGAGGGGGGAAGGGACGGCCGCGAAAGCTAAACACTAACGGGGGGATATTTCAGGTTCTCTTTCGGGCGGTTACACCGCCAGCGAAGAATACATGACCTTCCCCCACAAACATTACCCCGTCCCATTCCCTTATAGGGACGAACGAGGAGGTCAGTAATAAGGAATAAGTGATTCGAACACTTAACCCACCGTGTGTAAAACGGTTGCTCTACCATTGAGCTAATCCCTTTTATTTTTATTTTTGATGTAAGCAAATACATCACTAATAAATCCATACTATTATTTTCACCATCGCATCTTCTCCGTCCATACCCCCAGTCCCTCCATACTTCGTCGACTGGGGGGTATGGGGGGTCAGAAGCATGGCGAAGCCGGTGTAACCGCAAAAGTATGCATGCCCAGCCAGCCGTAATCGGCAAAAATTATTATTATTAAATAAAATAGTCTAAAACCAAAAAAAATCATCATAAAGTTACTTAAATTGAAGTGTCGTTTAATCATTTTTTAGCGTCATATTTATATAGTTACTATTATATAGTTATATTCATTACAAATATATCAAAACTATATAACACACAAGGTAATAGTATGATAAATGCGAATAATAACGGTAATAATATAGTTCAACAGAATGACATTAATTGGTCAAAACGTATTCTAGGGAATGAAGCTCTAACTCATATAAAAATGAAAACTAAAAGAGAACTTTTCAGTCCTAAAATTAAACTATAATATAAACCACTTTCAGCAAAAGCACTTACAAAATTTTTAATATTGTTATATTCTGCAGAATATACTCAATCTATATCAAATACATAAGCCCATAAATTATTTATTAAGTTAAATCAGTATAATAGATTAAATCCTAATAAATAACCTCCTAAAAACAGTATACTTGTTAATATACACATTAATAATATACTACCATATTCAGCTAAGAAGAAGAAGACGAATACAACCGCAGCGTGTTCTGTCATAAATCCACTAACTAGTTCAGATTCAGCCTCTGCTAAATCAAATGGAGCTCTATTAGTTTCTGCTACAGAACCTATAAAAAATATTAAGAAAATAGGAAATATAGGTAATATAAGTCATACGGCTTTTTGAGCTTGTATATTAATATTTAAATTAAGACTACTAGTTATCATAATAATTAAAAGTATGGCTGAACTTAAAACTAATTCATAGCTAATTAATTGAGCTGTACTTCTAAGAGAACCTAAAAAAGCATATTTACTATTAGCACTTCATCCCGCTAATAAAATTCCATAAGTACCTAAAGATGAAACAGCTAACATATATAATATACCTAATTCCATATCATTTAAAGTTAAACCAGGTCCATAAGGTACAACACCGTAACCTAATAAAGCGAAAGCTAAAGTAATAACAGGACCTAAGAAGAATAATATAGTATTAGCTTGTGTAGGTGCAACATATTCTTTTAAAATTAATTTTAAAGCATCAGCAAAAGCTTGTAATAATCCATAATACCCTACAGCATTTGGCCCTAATCTTCTTTGCATACTTGCCATAGTTTTTCTTTCGGCTACTGTTACATAAGCTACTGCTAATAAGGCTGGCAACATTAATAAAACTACTTCTAATACAGATAAAAGAGTTGAAGTATAATACATTTATTGATAAAAAACTAGATTTTTGTGTTATAATTACTTAATAACAAGGACCACCTAGTTTATCTGGACTACTGCTGGCGTAGCATGCGAACCCCATTCCCCCGACGTAGTCGGGGGAATGGGGTTATGGCGAAGCACCCTCTCCCCCTAATCTCTTCCATCATGGCTACGTAGTCGCGAAGCCGAAACCGCGGTTTCGGCTTCGCGACGAAGTATGGCTTCATTACGAAGTATGGCTAGCTGTAGTAGGATAAGTATGGAAGTGACTTATTAAAGTAATATAGAAATAAAAAATCTATAAAAAAATGCCCTTAATATTAAGGATTATATGATTTATTCATTAGTATATTATTAACCTAACAGAATTCAAAGTTTTTTCATTACGAAAAATGGACCCCAGCGGCCTAGCCTGTCCCCGCCTGGGCATACTTCGTCAGCAGAAGTATGGGACCCCCTCTCCCATTTCTTGCTCTCCCTTTCCCGAACCCCTGACCCCCCCATTCCCTTATAGGGGGGGGTATGGGGTTATGGGGGTAGGGGACGAGGGATCGTAAGAGAAAGAAATAGGGAAAGAAGCACCCCCCCCCCTTCTCATTCCATACTTCGTAATGAAGGGGGGGGTATGGAAAGGGGTATGGCAGGCTAGATAGAACTAATCGTCCTAATATCTTTGAATCTATCTCATCCCAGATTCGAACTAAGATCGGAATATTAGAAGTATTCTGCTCTACCATTGAGCTAATGAGACTTATAATGTACTCTTAGTTATACTAGCTATATTTTTAGAGCATATACCATTCCGGCTTCGCTGAAGTATGGTCTTCAGGGGTCAGGGACGGAGAAGGATGTATGGTATATTCTATAAAAATACATAGAAACATTATATTTCGATACCGGCTGCTGTACTTCTTATCCCGGTGGAGGTATAGAAGTATAGCAGCCAGCAGCCATAATTTATTATCTTATTGATATTCCACTTTGTAATGGTAAACTTACAAAAGCGTGAGGTTTAGGTGGGCTACTTAAAGCTCATTCTAAACTAGGGTAACTTCTATTTAATAGGGCTTGTAAAGTATCAGTGTAATATTGTACAGATAATCAAGGATTTCTGCTTGCAACTTTACCTTCAACTAATTGTTTGTATACTACATATAAGAATAATCATGCAGCTACAACGCTTACAATAGATCCAAAACTACTAATTAGATTTCATCCTGCAAAAGCATCTGGGTAGTCGCTAATACGTCTAGGCATTCCTTGTAATCCTAAGAAATGTTGAGGGAAGAATGTTAAATTAACCCCTATAAATAAAACTCAGAATTGAATTTTAGCTAAAACGATGTTATAATTTAAACCTAATATTTTGGGTATTCAGTAGTATCAACCACTAAACATTGCAAAAACTGCACCCATACTTAAAACGTAATGAAAATGAGCTACTACGTAGTAAGTATCGTGGAAAGCTATATCAAGAGATGCGTTAGCTAAAACTACACCACTTAACCCTCCTATTGTAAACATAAATACAAATCCTAAAGCGAATAACATAGAAGGAGTTAATTTTATAGATCCTCCGTATGATGTAGCTAATCATGAGAATATTTTAATTCCTGTAGGAACTGCAATAATTAATGTAGCAGCTGTAAAGTATGCTCTTGTATCTACGTCTAAACCAACTGTATACATATGATGTAAAACTGTTAATAAATATTTTATATTTACCCTTACGATCCCGCCTGGCTGGCGAAGCATGCATGGATTCCCCATACCCCCCATTCCCATTCCCATTCCCATTCCCATTCCCTTTCCCTTATAGGGAGGAGGGACGAGGGAGGAGGGACGAGGGAGGAGGGACGAGGGACGGGGGGGGGTCAGGGGATCCATACTTCGTCGGGATATGGCGCAAGCTCGCCATGCTTCGCCGACCCCATTCCCTATAAGGGAATGGGGGACGGGGGTAGAGTATGCTTCTTTCACAAAAAGTATCGGACTATATCTTCATCTTTTGGGCCTTTCCTGTTTTATTTGCTATACTATTATTTAAATTGATTTGTTTTTGTAAAGTTCTTACTTGTGATAATCCTTCTTCAGTTAAATGTAATTTATTAGACACTTGGTTATGAACAGTTAATCATTTTTCAAAAGAAAGAGCTTTTTTAGTTTGTAATGGAAATAACTTAAAGTATGCTATTACATCATTTAACACTTTAAATCCAGTAACTGTATAACGATACACATCATCAGTACCAGATCTTAATGTTACTTTTCCAAATCCAAATAATTCGTATATTTTATTTAGTATAAAAATATCTTTTTGGTCTAATATATAACGCATTTTTATAACATGACCTAATATATATCTAGAGTTTGCTGTAATAGATACATTAAAACATCCTTCAGCATCAGTAAACCCGGATAATCAGCCATCCTGTAGTGTAACCGAAACAGGAATATTGTTTAACTTTATAGTTTCAGAACCAAAACGATTATTTAAAGCATTAACTCATAGAGCTAGTTGCTTTATTCTATGGTTTTGAGCTAAATTTCCATTAAATAAAAAAGCTAAAAGTAAGATATGTGAAGGATTATCAACCATTCATCTATAAAAATCATTGTTTTTACCACTTTTTCCTACCCTCTTAGAGGGTCGAGGGAAATGTTTAACTACACCAATGTTAAATTTGTATTGTATTTTATGAAGTATATCACTTTCTTTTTGAGTAAGAACAAAACGCACTCTTTTACCTTCATCATAAGTTTGAATAGCTCCATCTCCTTCTGCAAACCCGATAAATCAAGTTAACCATTCATCAGAAAGATGGTTTCTATTTTTAAATAATGTATTATAATAAGCATGAAAAGCGAAAAAAGATGTTTCGCGTGTAGTCTCTGAGACACTCTGTTTGTTATCTTTTTTAACCTGATCCCCCTTTCTTAATTTCTTGCTCTCCATATCCCGTAAGGGATCGTCAGAGCAAGAAATAGGGGGATATGGCGAACCTTCGGCTACAGAATACAGGGACAGATTGTCTGCTGATTGAGTATAGCTAATTAGATTTTTACCATACAAGGTACTAATTAACACTAAACTGTTCCAGCATATAGCGAAATTAATTATATTCCTTATATCACTATAAGGTGAAGCCATCAATATACAACTTCAAACTATGAATCCTAATATACCAATAGACATCATAGCGTAAACCCGAGTTATTGTACAGACTTTGACCCATATTTTAATCTAATCATTATCCCCATAACCTTTTCTAAGTATGCGGTGGCCTCCATTCCATTCCTACACCATCCGGCTTCGCCTGGCATGCATGCGGTTTCACCGCATGCTTCGCCAGCCAGCCATCCAGCAGTAGGAATGAAATGGGTAGGAGCTCCTCTCCCCCCCATTCCCATTCCCATTCCCTTTCCCTTATAGGGAGGAGGGACGAGGGACGAGGGACGGGGGAAGAGTAAAAAAAATATTGATTTTATATACTAAATCTAATCGTCTCCACCTGTATAATCAGGACCTGTTTCATTAACTAAATCTTCAGCCATTTCACTAGGTCTTTCTAAATTAGATTCGATCATTTTTTTTACATCTTGTTTATCTTGTCTACATTCTTTAACATTTTCTAAATGTTTTTCTTTTCATTCTAATCTTTCTTTTTCATATTGCTCTTTATTATTTTTATAGTATTCTCCTTTTTTTAATTCTTTATGAATTTCTTCTTCTTCTTTTCATAAAGCTTCTGTAACTTTTTTAAACCCGCTATTTTCTAGCTCAACTTTTTTAGAAAAATATGCGACTGGTTTTAATGGATCACTAAATTCAGCTTCTAGGGCATCAGCTCTATCATTTGAATTGTTCATAATATTCTGTCTACGACCTGAGTATTTACTAGAAATCTCTGATGCTTTTTTGGGGTCTAATAGATCGTATCCTGCTTCGACACGATCTATCATTTTGTCTTCGACTTCCCCATGTTTTTCCATTAGTTTGTCTATATTTTCTTTAGCTTCAGTTAAAAAAGTTCTTTCATTACCTGATCCCTGTCCCCTAACCCCTTCGGGGTTCGGGAAAGAAGGGTCCCCGGCTGGCGAAGCATGCCCCCCCTCGTCCCCCGACGTAGTCGGGGAATGGGGTTCCTCATTTCCCGACGTAGTCGGGACAGGTAATGGGGGGGCGGATTCGCCGCCGCCTGATTCCGCTGCTAACTCTTCTTTTTTCTCTTTTTCCAACTGGGCTTTATAATTTTCTAATTCTTGGTGATATTTGGCTGCATCCGCTAGAATTTTATCTACATCCACTAAAAAAAAACTAGAATTAGAAAATAATTTGTACTGTAAGAATCTAAATGCAAATTTGTTCGGCGCCGCCATTCCATTATAGGGACGTGAACGACTATAATTAAAATTAAATTTAAAAAATAATTTTGTAGCTTTAATTTAAGGGTGGTGTCATCACAGTGAGTGCCTAATAAATCAGTAACTGCCTAATACATTGGTTATTAAAATTAGGATACCGGGATATATATCCTGCTCTAGTACTAAAAGTTGTGGAATCTAGAGGGATTTTGGTCCTCTATATCTCGTCAATTTATCACCTTATTTGCACCGTTAGTTAACAAAAAAGATGGCTATCATAATCCCATACTCCTGTTCCCGGCATAGCACCCCATTCCCATTCCCTTATAGGGACGAGTGACGAGGGACGAGGGGGTCAGAAGCATGGACCCCCTCTCTCTTTTTGAGAGAGGGGGGAAAACCCATGCATGCTTCGCTAGCCAGGCGGGAAAAGGCATACTTGTATGCGCAGATAGAGGGGATAAAGCTGCACTAAATTCAAGCCCAGACTTGTGACCTAGGCTCTTAAAATAAAAGGGGATCGGTCTTCCAATAATTGTATTATTAATATTGATTTATAAAGAAATTCTGAATAAAGACACTCAGGTCGTTAGTTTACACTAGGATATACAACTGAAAATATTTATAGTAAGGGGGCTAGCCCTACTATCTATATCCCGTTCCCGTGAAGAACTTATGTCAATCTGCATAATCTTTCGCTAACTAAGACCGTTGTGGGGGCTTCTGACCCCCCCCCGTCCATTACGAAGTATGGACGGGGGAATGGGGTCAGAAGTATGCTAACTAAATTAAGTAAACCAACTAAAAGGAAATTAAAATTTATCCGGTCCCTCATACCTCCCCCTTTCTTCACCCCCCCATAACCCCATCCATGCTTCGCCAGGCAGGGGTTATGGGAATGAGAAGGGGGAGGGGTATGTGGTGGTTGGGTAGAGGGCCGGAGGATGATAGTTAAAATATTAAAGGGGGGCGGGTTTCGAGTTCCGGTACTGATCCCCACCCTCCTCCCCCCATTCCATTACTAAATAAGGCATGGGGGATAAGGCGAAAAATTAACCAAGGTAAAATAGACCGATAACAAAAGATAAAGTTGAAGTTAGACTACTGCTGGCTACGAAGTCGCCTGCGAAGCCGCCGAAACCGCATGCCAGGAAAAATTAATTAACCTAAACCAAGCCAGCATGCTAGCATGTTGGCGACGTAGTCGCAGGCTTACGTAATATAGAAGTATAGTATGAAAGATATAAAAATTGAGAGCACTAGCAACGGTGGTGCGGGCGGCACCGTAACCGTAGCGTAGCATGAAAAGATAAAGTAGGTTATAACAAGGCTCGGCTACCTCGTACTTATTAAGTTAAAAAGTAATAGAACAACTTTCTGGTTTAT